CGACACAAAGTTCATCCCGAGGAGGCTGGCGTCCGGCGGGGAGCCGCTCTGAAGTCGGGCTGCGTCGCAGCCGCGCTTCCATACAGTGAGAGAGAGAGAGAGAGAGAAAATGAGCTCAAACTAAGGTGCCCCTTCACAATAAAAGCCGGGCCCACAAAATCAAGTGGGTGCAGAAGAGCGATGGGATGGCGCGAAAGGAGTCGGGGCAGGAGCAGGGAACGCCGGGGAAGGGACCTTTGCGGGGAAACTTGATGTTCGGAGAATTCCAACGTCTTTTTAAAAGTGACTAAGTCGGTGGGATTCATCGCCGAACCCGTCGACAAGGCCCTCGTCGTGAACAAAACCCAAATTCTTCAAACTAAAATGCAAAGAAATGTCAGCGTCAAAGGAAATCCCAAAAGCCAGGCACCGTTCTCCCCCAAAACGCTTTGAGCTTCTTCCTTCAGAATGGCCGAGAGAAATGCCAACGCCAAGAAAAGAATGGAATAGCAATCCCCAAAGTTGACAGACAGACACTACGTATGCACGTCACTCTGAAATACACGCCCGACAAGTCATGGACACGATGTCACTGGCGTCAACACTTGCACCGATCGCAACAATTGAAAAAGGAGTCAAGATGAACGGTGAAGTGGCCGTTGAAATCTCGCAACATTGACACGCGTGTCATGTGAGCGTGCCTGGCCTGGCTCCGTCCACCTATGACGTGAAAACAATGCGTCGTCGATATTGTTGTCTGACTCCGTCCGAGTGGCGCTTAACGTTTGAACGCGGGGCAGGCCAAGATCGTGGGATCATCATTCCCCTCGGTGTGGCGACTGCCAGCCCAATTGTTTTGGCGAGCCTCCATCGCTTAGATCTCGTGTCACCGAGGCACGCGGACGGAAAATGTAATCCTCCTGTTACCTTGTTACTTGCTACTTGTTTGAGTACTTGTAAAAAAATCTCTGATTTGTCCAGGTTGATTCCATCAGTTGTAGCGGTTGATTTGAAAGAAGTGGTTTGGCATGGTCGTTTTTTTCATCTAAAAACGCCTTACT